TGATAATAATAATAACAATAATAATAATAATAATAACAATAATAATAGTAATAATATATATTTTTTTTAAATAATGATAAGTTATACTGTCCACTTCTAGTGCCTCAATTTACATGTACCTAACCATTTTTGTGTTGATTTTCGTGTACTGGATTTCTTTTCTTTTCTTTTCTTTTCTCCTTTGTTCCTCTTTTTTTACTTACTCTCCTTTTGCATTCTCTTCCCCCCCTTACTTTTTGTGTCTTTTTCTTCCTTTCTATTTTCTTTTCTATTAGATATCTAATTCTCTTTTCTTTTCTGAGAACATTTCATAACTGATTTATTCTGTTCATTTTCTTTTCACTTTCAGGTCTTTTTTCCCCTTCTATTTTCCTTCCTATTCTCCAGTCCTTTTTAATAAAATTTTAAATTTCTTTACTTATTTGTTCTACTCATGTTCTTTTTACTTTTCAGATTTAAAAAATAAAAAGTATTTTACTTTCCTTTTTATTCGCTTGTCTTTTCTAAGAAAATGTCTTTGCTTATTTCTTTTCCTTTTCTTTTTTTTTTTTTTTTACTTTTTGGATTTTTAAAAATGTTGTATTCTCCGTCCTATTCTATTCTATTCTTTGCTTATTTTTTCAGTTCATTATCTTTTCACTTTACAGATTAAAAAAAAAAAATCTCGTATTTTCCTTCTCATTTTCTTGTCTTTTCTAAGAAATAGTTTTATCTTATTTGTTCGACTCAGTTTCTTTTCACTTTTCAGATTTAGAAAAAAATCTTTTATTTTCCTTCCTTTTTTCTTGTCCTTTCTCAGAACATTTCTTTACTTATCTATTCTGTTTATTTTCATTTCACTTTTCTTGGGTTTTAAAATCTGAGACTTCCCCTTTTTTGCTATTTTCCTCCTCTATTTGTTCTTTTCTAGTTTACGTGGGTGGTTGGCGGGTGCTCTGGTGTGTTTAGCTCCTTCTTTCCTATCAAACATCTATCGTTCTTATTTCCCCTTCTTCTTTTTTATATTTGTTACTCTCTTGTAACACCTCTAATCTTCTGGCGCTCATATGACCTTATGCAGTTGCAAGCGCCGTAAAACCTCTACTAAAACTAAAACTTCTAGTCTACTCAATGGAGGCTGCTTACTTCAACTGTCTCTCCAGCAAGAAATCTTTGAGCTCATCCCAGAAAAGGAATCGAGTATTGTCCAGGGCCCGATTCATCGGGGTATCGACAGCATCGGGGGCGATCATCGCGTATTCGATTCCCTGGTCCGGGAGAGTTGGGTCTTGCTGGTGGTTGGTAAGAAGAAAAAATGGTGAAATGGTATGAGATTAACGCCCCTATCAACACTATTAGGTTATTTAAGGGGCGGGACCTCCTAGTTTAACGTCCGTCTCCGATAGGACCGAGCCAAGTGGGAAGTTCGTGTAAAGTACCTTTCCCAAGGACACAAAATCGGACCGTGCTGAGGCTCGAACCCCCGAACCCACAATCTCACGATTACGAGTCCGGTAGCCTAACCACTAGGCTACCGACGCCACTTTGGTAAGAAGAACGTAATACAGTCCAGTCCATTTAAAACAGCCTCTGTTATTACAGGGACATGGATATAACAAGGATAAATCAAATCCCCGGTTTTTCCCCCTCTAGAAGTGTAAGTAATATGTGAGGTGTGCTGACAAAACGAGTTACTTCTCACAATCTACGAAAGGAGAGGTAGGCCGAAAATAGACTCATCAAATTAGTAAATTTTAAACCGAAACATTTTTCTTCAAGTTCAATTCCTTTTATCTGTTTATATACTAAATTATTTCAACCAAAACTATAACTTTGATATAATCTATCTGTGTCCATAAGACCAGAATTCGTAAAAAAAATCATTTTGTCAGCATCCTTCATATAACATGAACCTGGCTATAACAGGGTTCAGTTTTCCCAGACTCGGATATAACAACAGTGAACTTGCAGCGCATGAACTTGCTTTCGATCCGTCAAATTATTTAAATGTGTTTCAACCAGGACATTCCAACAGTTTGTACTATGGCTTGCTTAAACAGAAACATTCAAATACATACACTCCCCC